ATTTTAAAAATCTTGATGATTCTTTTTATTCCTTTAAAGAGCTTTGTTTTTGTATGAGGGATGGAASCCAGGGACTCTTCACCACTGAGCCACATCCCCAGCCCTTTTAATATTTTATTTAGAGACAGGGTCTCATTAAGTTGCTTAGGGCCTAGTTAAATTGCTGAGGCTGGCTTTGAACTCACAATCCTCCTGTCTCAGCCTCCTGAGCAGCTGGGATTATAAGCATGTGCCACTATACCTGGTTCCTTCTCTTTGAAGGAACCAGGTATAGTTATTCTTTAACAATAAAATAAACTCAAATACTATCTTTCTATGTTCTTGGTGCATTTTTAAAAGTATTTCACTTCTAAGTATGCATTATCTTTCAAAAATAATTTATAAGTCAATGTAAGTAAGTTGGTCCTTCAAATTTGAGATTTAGTAATACTACCCCATCAATAGATATCACTCCAGCTAAAAAAGCAGACAAAACTGTTTAAATGTAAAACAGGACTCCTGTGGTATCCCTAAAAGAGTGCATATAGTACATATAATATTTTTAAATATTGCAAGTTATGATGACATTTTAAATTTCTATCTCAGGGATAATTTCAAAGTAGAGGCTAGATGGATAATAAAAGTTGGGGGAAGGAAAATAAACTAAAATGTTAGTAGCAATCAGATCCTAACTATGCAAACTGTGGTTCCCAACCAGCAATACCAGCATGACCTGGGGGGTTCTTACAAATGAAAATCTGAAGCCCTACCCCAGACCGGTAGAATCAGATCTCTCGGTGATTTAAAGGCTTCTATAGTCTCATTATATCACTGCATCCTCCAAACAACCTGTAAAAAAATGACTAATACACATTTCACAAATGAGCAACCCCAAATTCAGAAGGCTAATAACTGACTCAAAGTCACAGAGATATTAATACCTGATAGGATTCAAACTCAAATACACTGATGTACTTTAAAAAATCCTTTCTACAATGTACTCTCTCTCAAGGAAAAAAACTAGAATAGTTTTTTGCCTAAAATATTTTGCAAATACATATGTAATTTCAAGTATAACACAAAGAAATAGGTAATATTAACTTTTATTTTATTCAAATCAATGTATCTACAATGTTACCTTTTCAATATGTATTCATTGTAAAGAAATTATTAATGAGATATTTTACATTCATGTGTGTATACTCTGAAATTCAAAGTGTACTCTACATTTACAGCACAATTCAGACTGGACACATATCAAGTAATTAATAGCTCCAGGTGGTCAGTAGCTATCATATTGGGCAGTGCAGATCTACAATTTTTTCCTTAGCAACTTTTTTGTAAACACAAAACTGGCAAGTTATTACAGTAATCAATAAAAAGAAAACAATGAACTCCATGTTAATTCCATGCATATTCTATTCTGATCAGTTAACAAGTTTAGGCGGGCCCAATTCTGCCAAGCTGACCATCAACTACAACCTCTGCAGAATATAATTTAAAAAGCCCTGGGATAGGGCTTCACAAAATAGGGTATATATGTAACACTCAGAACTGTCATGTGAAAAAGTCCCAAATCTTCCATAATATCTGAAAACAACATTTTTTTTTAAAAGAGGGGAGATTGATGCTTCCATTTTATTCAAACCCAGGAAGAGAGAATATTGTAATTATAACCACAGACCCAGAAATAATTAAACAAAAAATAAATAATTCAAATATTCATAATTCTGTTGCAATGAATGATTTGTAAATTATACAGACTCAATGTGATGATCTATTAAAAAAGTAACAAAAGCATTAGATTACAATTGTGAAGAAAAAAAGGGGTGACAGATTAATTTATAACTATATAAAGGGTTTAGAGATTATCAGTGATTAATTTTTACATAACAAATTAAAATAAGTACAACTGAAAATGAAGTAATATTGCATAGTTTAAAATTTGTGACTACTGAATTCATTCATTCTCCTATTATTTGAATAGTTATTTCTTATGAAAATACCTAGAATTAAAAGTCCAATTTTCAAGTCTGTCACAAATTTTTTAAAAAGCCATTTTCTTTTCCCCAGATAGTAAATTCAAATAAATAATTCTTTTAAATATATATATATACATAATGTTTATCTAATGATGTGTGTACAATATTATATAATAAATATGTATACACATTTTCACACAGGAGAAAAAGGAATGAAGAGTAGAGATTAGGTGATTTAGTAGATAAAGCTTAACATTTTCTTAAGAGTTCCAAATTAAGAAATGTAACTAAATACCATAATGTATCTATTTTTGGCCTTCATCACCCCAGTTGAAGACCAGCTTACAAAAAAACACAGGTCACACTTGGAAGATCATATCCATTTCAGCTGAATAGGGTCCAATACTTTATTTTAAATAATTCTTTCCCAATTATATATCTTTTCCCTTTAAAAACAATCTATTTACTGCATTCACAATCTTAATACTGAAGCATTAAACCTTTACAATTCTTCTCTCCAAGGTGGGGCTTGCATTTTATTTCAATATGGTATGTACATGTGAATAAATATTGTCTTTTAATTATATCAAATATAGGAGGTTCATGGCCAGCACCATTTTATAAAAAAGTCTCTAATTAAATTTGTGATCTTGGTCAAGTCATAACTGCCATGTCTTTGTTACTTCTCCCTACACTATAATTCTGTAATTCTAAGTGCATTAATAGGCATCTAACAAGGGCTGGGGATGTGGCTCAAGTGGTGGTGCACTCGCTGGGCATGAGTGTGGCCCAGGTTCGATTCTCAGCACCACATACAAACAAAGATGTTGTATCGCTGAAAAGCTAAAAATAAATATTAAAATTCTCTCTCTCTCTCTCTCTCTCTCTCTCTCAAAAAAAAAAAAAAAGGCATTTAACAATAGGCTCTGTTTTAATTAACCCGAAAGACAATATGGCACAAACACTAAATAGAATACAGAAATAGGCACAGGTGGTTGTTGCCCAATGTTAATAGGTTAGTTTCTATACTCACAAACATTGTTCCTAATTCAGCCTGTTGTTTCACAAATTCAGATTTCTTAATCAAAGGAAACCAGGCAAGAGAAAAGTCTCAGCACCTTTCATTACTAACAGGGGGGGGGGGGGGGATGGGACACACACAAGTATTCAAATACCCCAATAACCCCTTTGTTAGAAGTTTCATGCAAATACAGAAAATGATATTATTTAAACAGAAAATTGTGAAATTATTTAATCCTATCATTTTCATCTTTTAATTTAAGAAATCATCTTGAATTTTTTCAAAACAAGTCTGCTCCTTTCTTCTGACAATTCAAGTCAGTGAAAACTGAAACACTTTACCAGGTTTCTCCTAAAAGGAAAAAAAAGAAATGTCATTTCCTTTTTAATCCCTCGTCTAATGACCAGCTATTTGGAGAAAGTTTTCCTAATGATAATAATTCTACCACTTTCTTAATGGCCAGCAAAAAAAGAGAAACTTTCAAATGTTTAAGTACCAGTCTTTTCCACTGGCCCATTTGACATGTAAATTCTAAATCCAAGTGCTCCAATTAAAATACCCAAGGCAAAACAAACATCCAAAATCTATTTTTAGAGTGGCATTCACTCTTTAGTTTTCTCTTTAAAATGAGATTTACTTGACCTATTTTCCTGTGTTTTTACATCACCCAGACATTGAACAAACAATGTGCTAGTTAAAMAAAAACAGCAAAGCCAACATCACAAATCCTATTATTTGTGTGGGTCATTTTCTTCGTGTCCTAATATGCCCTGTCTYTTTGAAGTCTAAATACAGTCATTTACTAAAATGTTGTAGGTCTTCCAAATTTTGTAATTACATACTGCTTTCAATGTCCAAGTTATATGTTCACATCTCTGCTTGAAAAGTACATGTATACACACACACACACACAGTGTGTGGGGAGTGCCCTGGCACCTGAAATGTCAATCATTCAAAGAACAAAGCCTTTCCTGTCATATCTTAGCTTTCTTCTTCCCCTAAGTTCTACATTATTTAAGTATTTTTAGAACGTAACTTAAAATGTTCAAAACTTGGAAGTATGGGCTTACTAAAATGGCACTTAGGGGGGAAAAAAAAAAAAAAACATATACCAGAAAGACTCACAAGAAAAAAAATCTTGTTGCCAGAATATGTGGTAAAGTTACAGTCGTACAGAGTTTACCTGTGAAGAGAGCTGTTCCATCTCCACACTAAAAAATAATGTTACAGCGTTTCTTTAGAAGTCTTCAGAAAATAAACTAGCGACAACAATGGAAGACCATACTCTTTCAAATAGGATGGAGAGTAGGAAGAGAACTCCGCACCCGGTAACCAGAACAAAGCAACAACCTCGGCTTTAAAGACGCACAGAGGCTGGAGAAGCTCAATGGGTACTCTGGACACATCTCCTGATTATTCCAATGCTTTACTAATCGTCAAAACAACTGATCTAATGCAATGCTGGGTTTCAAATGGGCAAGGTGGACGGATTGCTCTCTCAGTGTTAGGCAAGCCCCAGAGGCTGAGTAGAGAAGGGAGGGAGAAGAGAAAGCAGCAGCCAAAGACTCCAAGAAAGACAAAATCCAGAGACCGTGCGCCCTGACTTCGATCTGACCCAGGGCCCAAAGTGTTTGACCACACACGGAACAAGGTGCAGGCTATCCCCCAAATCATCGTCGCCCCTAAACCTTGAGGCCAGATGGTGCCCGGGTAGAGGCCTGACACCATCGCCGAAGGGGAGAAGAGGGACCCGCGGCCACCCAAGGCAGCGACACGGACCAGGCGGAAGAGGCTGCGCAGTAATGGCCGCTGCTCCGCCTCTCGCACCCTGGCTGCGACCAGCTCCGGCCGTCGCCCAGGGCAGGGGCTACGGCGGCCGCCGGCAACGCAGTGGCCGTCACAGTCTTCTTGCCTGCGACAGCAGCCAAAGCGTGGGCGACGGAAGGGCTGAGCTGTCCCCTCCCGCCTCCGCGCGGACAGTCGGGACCGCGCCGGCCCAAGGGCGTCCATCTACGTACCGGCCCCTGACCCCGCCGCCGCCCCTCTGAGGCCCTGAGCGCAGGGCCGACCCGAAGTGCGTCGCGGCAGAAGGTGACACCGCGGGCTATACCACCTCTCCCCGAGTGAGGATCCCCCAGTGACTGGCTTTCACCTTGCCCCCAGCCAGGGTTTCGCCCCGACTCCCACCTCTCTGGCCACAGCTGAGGCCACCTCGCAGTCTTTTCTCTTCGGCCTCGGAGCCCGCAGCGGACGGGGACGCGCGCGGCCGTCACGTGACCGCCCGGCGCTCGCGGGGGCGGGGCCGCGCGGGGAGGGAGCCGCGCTTCGCACCCGCGCGCGCCCGCGCGCGCGTCTGCTCAGCCTCTGTCCCCACGCTCCTCCCAGGTGCGCGTAGCCATGTGCACCAGCTTTCCGGCAACGCCGTGCCCGTCACAGTGCAGCAATTTCGCTTACTGGATCCTTCTAACTGGTCCCTATTTTACTTTCCATGTGCATCTTGGCGGCTGGAGGCTCTGGAAGAATGCGGAGCCACTTTCGAGAGATTTGRGGTGGAGCAAGTAAAACCCTCCTACAATCAGGAAGTGCTGCTGCCCCGCTTTGTGACCCTAAAGAAGCCCTTGCGCGCCTACACGAGTTTCSGTTTGAAGAGCCTCTAGCAAAAGTACAGTTCCTTTGAAGAAAAACGTAAAAACAAGGCAGGAGGGGGAGCCCACTGAGACGTCCCAATTTATTCACCTTCTGAATGGTTGAGCTATGCAATAGGGGAGGATAAGGATCTTATTGCCCTTTGGACTTATTTTTCCTGACAAAGTAGGGCATGAGAAGCTGGAGGAAGAAATTAATCAGCGTAAGAATCTAAAATTAAAGAAATGGATTATTTCCCTGGCAAGAGTGTGTTTTTGTTTTGTGTTTTTACGGTGCTGGAAAGGAATGTGGTCTTGTCAAAACTCTTAGCAGTATTCTGCATTCCGTTTTAGCATGTACAATCAGCAATTTATCCTTATTTTTAGTTAAATGAAGAGAATGAAAGCATGTCTTATTATTTACAAGAGTATGTATTTCAACATTGTGCATCAACAGTATCTTCTGTCTTACATTGATGTTGCTTTTTTATTTTATTAACTCATTCAGAATTGGGAAATTAAAGGTTCTTTATATGTACAGAAATATGTACATTTTCTTTTATTTCACTAAAGTCAATTTATTTCAGGATCCATATTCATATATGTAAAAGCCTCTTCAAAGGTGCCGTTTGTTAGGAAAGTGGCACAGGACTGAATCACAGAAGCAAGTTTATTGTCAGGAAATCTGACAAGGCTGTCTCTGCAAAGAGAACAGCAGCAGCACATTTCCTCTAAGCCAAACTWTTATAAGTCAGAGTATGGTTTAGGCATTGGGGTTGGGTTTAGCCCTTGCTATTACAGGTGGAAAGCAAACTTCAAAACCTCAGGGAACACAAAGGAGAGGGGACAGGAGGAGCAGGCACATTGTCTGGTAGCCCCTGTACATAGTCACAAAGTAGGCTAGTGTCTGAGCACTGTGTTCAGGGTATAGGTGGAGGTGTCAGCCTCTGTGTGAGTGTGTGGGCTCTTGCAGGAAGGGAAAAAGGGAGAGGGAGCAGGGTGAGGTGTCTGGGCAGAATGGAGTCAGTTTAACTTAACTTTCTAAATTAACCCATAATTATGTTAACAGGCTAACGCCATTTACTTCAATGATGTTTTCTGTCAATACTATTTTGCTTATAACCTCTATAAATGTAGCAATATTGAAGTGTATGTCCTCCAGATTTAAGATTAGTTTCCTCTCTTATCCATTTAACCACCTAGTTTTACCCCTCCTCCTATACAACCCATGAACAGATAATAGCAAGATTGTGGTATGTATTGAAGTTTCTAGCTTAAAGAAATAATCCTAACTACCAATGTGCATTGTCACATGTGTGCTTTACATGCATAAACTGGTTTAACCCCTACAATATCATATGAATTGGGTCTTACTACTAGACTGATTTTAAAGAAACAGGCACAGAACTAGGATTTGAATGTAAAAGACTATAATAGTTAACCTAATCAATCCAACCCTTTTAAAGAACCAGATAATAAAAGGTTAAATTACTTACTTGAAGACCTTGAGAGAGTTGCAATCAGAACATAAGTATGTTTCCTAGTCCATAAATGATTCTAATTTGAAAGGTTTTTGTATTTTTTTATTTGCTCTGGGTCCAGAATTAGAACAGATTCTAGCTGGGCATGGTGAGTAGGCCTGTAAACCCAGGAATTGGGGAGTCTGAGGCAGGAAATCACAAATTCAAGACCAGCCCAAGGAGTTTAGAAAGACTCTGTCTCTAAATAAATAAATAAAAAGGACTAGGGATGTAGCTCAGTTGTAAAGCACTTCTGGGTTCTTCTCCAGTACCAAAACAAATAACCAAAACAAGAACAGATAAATAAGTTACATTCTGTCTTTCAAAAGGTGTAAGATAGGGATTAATCAACAGAGTCTAAAGTACCCTTCCAGGCTTCAGCTCTCTTTATTTCAGTAAATGGTTCCATCTTTCCTTCTCCAAACCCATTTTTAGTCTCTCCCTCTCTCTTTGTTCCCATATTTGTTTTGTAAATAATCTATTCGCTCTTCCTTCAAAATACATTCAGGATCTGACTAATGAACACCTCTACTACAATCTACATTATCTCTCATTGGACTATTACAGTACCCCAGGAACTGGTCAATTCTCAACACAAAAGTCAAACCCATTAACAAGGAAGTGATGTCATGCCCTTCCTCTGTTCAAAGTCTCCCTTGGCTTCCCAACACAAAGCAAAAACAAAAGTCTTCCAATAGCTTTCTATCCTTCCCTCATTACGTCTCTGACCTCACTCAGCCTTGTGTTCCTACAGGACTGTATGCAAGCTCTCAACCCCATATTCTTTGCTGTTGCTCTTTCCTCTGCTTTGAACACTTACTCATTATGGCTTGCTCCCTCTAATTGTGTTCAAATGTCTTTTCAGCCAGTCCTCTACTCCCCACCCTACTTTAAATCCTAACATTTCCAAAATTTCTTATTACCACCATTATGGTTTTTTCTCTAATACTTACACAATGTAATATATGGTTTGTTTGGCTTATTCATCTTTATTATGCTTCTCTAAAACATAAGATTTAGAGGTGCAGGAATTTATGTTATATTCTGGAATTTATGTTATATTCTGAATCCAGATTGCTAGGAATAGTGCCTGCTACAATCTTTGCAAATATGTTGAACGAATATGTGCATACACATGAGATTGTATGTGTATGTATATACATATACACACATTAACATACTGATATATAAAGGGATAAAAAGTGAACTTCTTTTTATTTGTCAGCAATTGAAAAAAAGAGAAGAGAAGAATTGAATGCATAGACTACAATACATCTCACTTCCACCAGCCACCTATAAGAGTGGTAAGTTTCTGTCTTTGTATGATACAAGGCAAAGATATACTCAACATTGTTAAGAGTGTTTTAAGAGTACTTGGTTTCCACTAATTGTTAAAGGCCCAAACTTTTAAAGTATTTACTTAAATAAATAGAGCCTAAAAGATTCAAGATATCTCTGTAATATGTTCTTACTAACATTTTATTTTGCTTCACTGAAACAAAGATAAAAGAGTTGGCAGCAGATTGCTGGGAATTGTCCTTTATTTATGACTTAGTATATCCTACTAACTCATGAAATACTTTCATGAATAGCACACATCTCCTCCAGGAACCACTCTTTCCCATTCTGTTCTCCCAACACCCAAATAATCTGATATTATTTATTTTATTTAAAGATCAAAGTATTCTCTTTCTTATTTGCTTAATATCTAAAGAAATTCAGGAAAGCGTGCATGAGAAAAATCATATAAGTCTCAGTGGAGCATATGTTGTTTTAGCTAGTATCAGGCAGTAGTTTTCAAAGTGTTGTCTAGTGACTCTGGGTATCCTTGTGACCCTTGCAAAGGATCTGCAAGGGGGAAATTATTTTCATAATACGGGTTGGATCTGGAATGTCCCCGAAAAAACTCACTGTTGAAAGCATGATCTCCAATGCAGTAAGGTTCAGAGTTGGGACTTTTAGGCAATAATTAGAGCTCTGACTTCTTCAGTGGATTAATCCATTTGCTGTGTTAATCCATTGATAGCTGATTGGACTATTAGGTGGTAACTGTGGGCCAGTGTGGCATGTCTAGAGGAAGCAGGTCACTGGGGGCATAGCCTTGGATTATATCTATCCCTGGACCCCTCCCCCCTCTCTCTTTTCTTTCCAGCTGCTTTGAGCAAAGCAGCCTTCCTGTATCATGTGCTTCTTCCATGATGTTTTGCCTCATCACAGAGTGAAAGAAATGGAATCCCCGGCCATGGACTGCACCTCTGAAACTGTAAGCCCAAAATAAACCTTTTCCATTCTAAGTTGTTTTTATCTGGTATTTTGGTCATAGCAGCAAAAAGCTGACTAACGCACATAAAAACACTAAGTCTCTGGCTGTTCTGTTCAGTTGTACTCTCTCTCCAGAGGCTGTTTGATGTGTGGTATAGCAAAGTTTGAATATAGATCTAGATGTGAGAATTTGTATCTATTAAATCAGACATTAAAGAGACTTGCACAATGTAAAATAATGTCATTCTACTCATTTAATTATCTTTGCTTTGGAAAACACAGCCATTGTTTATTAAATGACTTATATATGCAACTGCATTAACACTTAATGAGTCTATTCTTTTTAAATGAATTAACAAATATTTTAAACAGTTCTCAGTTTTAATTTATAATTTAGTAAATGTAGATTAACATACAAATAAAGGTTTGGGGGGTCTTCTATAATTTTTAAAAGTTTAAATATATCCTGAAGCCAGGCATATGCCTATAATCCCAGTAGCTCTGAAGCAGGAAGATTGAGAGTTCAAAGTAAGCCTTAGCAAATTAGCAAGGCCCTAAGCAACTCAGTGAGACACTGCCTACAAATAAAATACAAAAAAAGTGTTGGGGATGTGGCTAATGGCTAAGTGCCCCTGGGTCCAATCCCCAGTACCAAAAAAAAAAAAAAAAAAAAAAAAGATATCCAGAGACAAAGAGTTTGTCAATTCTACATTGGTCTGGAGGCTATTTTATATACCAACTGTCAGTTAGTTTTTTTCCCCCCTCCCACATGCCAGCAATCATCTGATCGCTATGGACATCACTTTCTCATATGTTTGGAAACAGAACAAACAAGATTCAGGAATGTACCAGTCATTATAGCTAGCAGATGAATAGAAGTAAAACCAAGAGTTTTGTAAAGCAAACTTTAATTGAAGCTTTTGCTTTCAAAGCTGATATAGAGCTTGTTCTCTTGTCCTATCA